TAAAAAAAAAAAAGAATGACTTTATGACATTTGCTGCTAAAAGGTAGATCTGGAGACTATATGCTAAGTAAAATAAATCAATCCCCCCCCAAAAAAAACAAAGGTCAAATGTTTTCTCTGATATGTGGAAGCTATCCCACAATAAGAGAGGGGATAGGAATTCCATAGATTAGACGAAGGGGAATGAAGGGAAGGGAGAGGAATAGGAATAGGAGAGACAGTGGAATTAATCTGGCAGAATTTTCCTATGTACATATATAAATGCACCATAGTGAATCTACACATCATGTACTAATACAAGACAGGATCCTAATTAGAATAAGATGTACTCCATCTTTGTATAAACATGTCAAAATACACTCTACTGTCATGTATAATTAAAAAGAACAAATTTTTTAAAAAGGAAAAAAGATGGGGCTGGGGATGTGGCTCCAGTGGTAGCGCGCTCGCCTGGCATGCGTGTGGCCCGGGTTCGATCCTCAGCACCACATACAAACAAAGACGTTGTGTCCGCCAATAACTAAAAAAAATAAATAAATATTAAAAAAAAGAAAAAAGAATAAGTGAAAATGGAATTATATAGAACTCAAAAATGTATAATCTTTTTTTTAAAGAGTTTTCAACTTGTGATCTACTGATTTTCTACTACAAAATAATCCCCTGTGATATAACTGGTAACACCTTCATAGTACCACATCACATATAAGAATTGTAACTTTTTCCAGTCTCATCTTGTGGCCATCTACACATCTATACAGAAATACATGATCATTTTCTTGGAATAAATGTCCAGTAGAGAAATCAGTAGATCAAAAAACAGGTGCAAGCCAGAGGTGATGGTACCAGACACAGGAGTCTGAGGCAGGGGGATTGCAAGTTCAAAGCCAGCCACAGCAACAGCAAAGTGCTAAGCAACTCAGTGAGACCCTATCTCTAAATAAAACACAAAATATGGCTGGGGATGTGGCTCAGTGGCCAAGTGCCCCTCACTTCAATACTGGATACCTCCCTCCAAAAAAAAGCAGGTTCACACAGTAAAATAGTATTCAGCTATAAAAAAAAAAACAAAAACAAAAAACAAAAAAAAGAACAAGTACATGTTACAATAAGGAGGAGCCCAGAAAATGATATGGTAAGCAAAAGAATCTAGACTTGAAAGATCATAAGAACCACTTAAAAGATCACATGATCCACTTATTGAAAATGTTCAGACTAGGTAGATCTATAAAGACAGAAGGTAAATTCCCAGTTGCCTGGGTCTGGGGAGAGAGTAATAGGGAATGACTGCTCAATGGACGGGATTTCCTTTTAGTATGATGAAATGCTGTGGAATTAGATAGAGGTAAAGATTACAATAACATGAGTGCACCAAATGTCACTGAAATGCTTCAATTGTTTGAAATGGTTAATTTTATGTTATGTGAATTTCACCTCAGTTACAAAAACAAAGCAGGCATAATGTCAAGGCCAGCTTCCGCCAATTTGTGCATCCACCAATGATGCATCTGAGTGCCCTCAAAGCTGAGGTGGCACTGATGGCTTTCCATATGCCTAGTTATCTCGGCAGGCGAATGCATCAATTGTCAGTGAGATTGGTTTTACTGGAGTCATTCATGTTCATAGTCCATTAACATGATCATATTTTCTGATTATAATGGAGCATTGGTCTTAGTGTTTCTCAAAAATGCATTTTCCATTGATAACATCCATCCTCACCATGAGTGTTAGTCAGCATTTTGCCATGGGACCAAAAAGTCAGACAAGAACAAATTAGAGTAGGAAAAATATATTTGGGATTCATGGTTTTTCAGATGTCTCAGTCCAAGGAGTGCAAGGAGATGAAGCAGTGACTGTAGAAACAAAGAGTGAGACCAGACCCACTTTAACCCCTGCGAGATAGACTTTGGCCAGGTCTCCATTTATCACGAGGCTTCCATAAAACCTTTCTCTAATCTGTGCATGATGGTGGTGCCTGTAGTGACAGCTCCAGGGGAGGCTGAGCTGGAGGATCACTAGAGCCCAGGAGTTCAAGTCCAGCCTGGGCAACATAGAGAGATGCCAACTTTCAAAGAGGGAAAAACAAAGACTCTAACTTTAATCAATGGGCCACAATGGTTATTTGTGTCCTTTGGAATCCATTTCAGTGCAGACCCTGTATCTTGGTTAGAAATTCTAAGCATTCCTCTTTTTTCACTCTGTAGTTACCATTAAGGGATAGTAAAGACTCCCCCTGTGAGGAAGGTTCAGGAGCCCCTCCCTTCCATTCTGTGCTTTTGACTTGAACCACCTTAGATCTGGAAAACTAGCTGGGGAACTGTGATTTTTCATTCCCATGATTGATGTCAGCCTTCTGCTTGTCAGTTCTCAGGTTCTTTTTCTTTTCATTTTTTTTTTTTAAAGTTGTAGATGGACACAATATCTTTATTTACTTGTATGTGGTACTGTGAATCAACCCAGTGCCTCACACATGCTAAGCAAGCCCCAACACTCTCTGTTTCTAATAAGGGGGGAGATGAAGGGCAATTATACAAATCAAATATCTTAAACAGCTGTCCTTCGATCTTGCCCCCTGGAACATCACGAACATCAGCTTATTCATTCAGACTCATGCCTTGGTGCTCATTAAGTTAATTATCAATCAATAGGCTCATTTGATTAGAGGAGGCACATGTATTCTCCCTATATTAAGGTCAACTGATTGGGAACCTTAATTATATCTGTAACCATCTAACAGGAGTACCTAGATTACTGTTTGAACAACTAGGAAAAGATGTGTGCACGTAGGTCAGGTGAAACTTGGGGACATCTTAATTTCACCTTGCACAACTCCTACTGTTTGGGAGTGGAAACAATGTGCTCATCAGAACTAGATGAACCTGTGTTTACCATAGGGCAAGAGACTTCAAAGCTCATTTATTAGTAAGCACTGTGCTACAGTATAGAATTGAAGGCAGGGGTGGTGTGGAGGTGGAGGCTATGCCCTGGAGAGGTGGGAATAGTATGAGTGAGACAAGCTGTCCAGTGGAGGCCCAGAAGCTTGTCCAAGGGAGAGAGGGGTAGGAGCTGAGTCCAGGACATTGAACCTCAGCCTGAGAGGAAGCACCAGGCAGGCACCTGCCTATATGCTGGGAGTACTCCCAGGTCTGGCTTCCTAAAGCAGGACTAAGTAAGACACAGCTAATGCCCAGAGACTTCTCCCGGTGACTGGATTTTCGCTTCCATCTCAGGTATAGACCAACCCTTAGTATTGCAAGTAGAATTCATATTCATGATGAGGGCATCACCTGGGGCTTTACACAGGCATTTTTGCTCCTTCAACTTGAATCCCTTTCATAGGTAACCTCTCATTTCCCCGCCCAGCATTACGTCACTGGGGCTGGGCAGGATCCCAGGATAGAAAAGCAGAGCTGCTGGCTGAGGCAGTCTTCCCTAAACCAAGAGCTCTGGCCTCCTCTCTCTCCAAAGAGGCCTTCACCTCAGTTCCTTCACCACCTTTGGGCATCATGCGTGAAATTGTGCTCATCCAGGCAGGCCAATGCGGCAACCAGATTGGCGCCAAGGTGAGCACGTTGCTGGGGACTGGACCCTGCGTGACACAGGCCAGGGCAAAGGGTCCCAAGGATAAGAGTGGACTGGGGGGACGGGGTCTAGCGTGCGCGGCTACCAGGTGTGCCAGGGCAGCACATGAATATGGTGATGGAGCTAGGTGTGCCTTGAATCAGTGACCTTTAAATTACCTAGGGACACATCCATCCTTTGTGGGCACACTTTTCCTCATGATGGCCACTTTCTTCCTCTGCCACTCAGATGCCCTCCCAACACCATGCCTACCCTCCCTCACTCATTCCTTGCCAGGGTTAGGATCCAGAGGCCAACATGTACATGGCCACCAATGACCTGTACCCTTCAAAGCTGCTGAGGTTTGTGCAAGGAGTGGGGCCACTTGATCCTTGGTCCTGCTAGAACCCATCCTGGGACCCATTCATTAGCACGGATTCAGGGACATTCAAACTTGCCCGGAGGGACAGCCCCACTGTGCCCACTGCTTCCTACAAGAGGTTCTTGGTCGTCCCCTTTTCTCCCAATGTGCTTCCAGCCCGTCAGTCTGTGACCATATATGGCTTGTGCCCTGCAGACTTCCAAACCCCTAGGAAGCAACCGATATAGGAAATAGACCAGCTTTCTGGTCTTAGACTGACACTCTTAACTCTCTGACTACTATTCCAAGGCTATTCTAGTGACAGGATGCTGGGCCATGAGTGATTTTTTTTTTTTCATTTCAGTTTTGGGAGGTCATCAGTGATGAACATGGCATTGACCCCACAGGCAGTTATCATGGAGATGGTGACTTACAGCTGGACAGAATCAATGTGTACTACAATGAAGCAGCTGGTGAGTATATCCATATTAAACTTGCTTCCCATGCTGTGGCAGTGGAAAAGTCCTAGGTGCATAGAAATGACAAAGAAATGCATTTTTGCACGTTCATATAAAATGTCAACCTCAAAAAACAGATTTCATATTTCCTTAATAGTCCTTTTTTATTTAACACGACTAAGCATGCACAGCATTTTTTTTTCTTTTCCCTTTTTTTTTTCATTCCTTTGTCTCAAATGTTGGAATCTTCTGTAATGAATTCTTCTGAGAGAACTACATAGAATTATGACCCTACCCATGTTTCTTTACCAAGCACAGGTGTAAGTGAGCTTTTATTCCTGCAGGCAATAAATATGTTCCTCGGGCCATCCTAGTGGACCTGGAGCCAGGAACGGTAGACTCGGTGAGATCGGGACCATTTGGCCAGATATTCAGGCCAGACAACTTTGTGTTTGGTATGTCCTCATGGTCCATTGGACTGTGATTCACCTTCTTCCTGCCAGCCACACATTTCACAGTTCTCAGTGTTCTGTGCCCGGGTGAGACTGTGTCCACAGATGGCCCCAGTCCTGGCCTAACCCCTTGCATGGGGGTGGGGAGATATCTCTGGTCACTCTGGACAACTCAGGATTTCATGTCAGCCTCCTTTACAGCAACCCCTGAAGGGAAAGACTCAAGAGCAAGAAGAGCTTCTAATGAGGCTTAATAGGCTACAGGTCACTTGATGGGACCAGGGAAAACAGTGAATCAAATTAAAGTAATGAAGGCCAAAAGCAGAGCCTGTGACCAAGATTCAGACATCTGCCTAGAGTCCCTCTTTCCCTCTGATCACACTGTGCCTTCCTCTTGCCTCATGGTACTGCATGAGAGTATTGAACAATGTTCCCCTAGTTGCAGAGGCGGCTGAATTTTGTCAAACGTTTTCTCTTCCTCAACTTGTTTTTTTTTTTCCACCTTGGGATGATCGCCAGCATTTTTGAGGTTCACTGATAACATTCAGTCTTGCAGACAGTCTTAGGTAACCAAAGCATATCTAAAAGGTTTTGTAAGACTAGTCTCACCTTCTCCACAGTGCAAATGACAGCATCCAGAATCCTTGTCCATTTGTGTCTCATATTCTCTTTCCTGTGGTAGGCCAGAGTGGTGCAGGGAATAACTGGGCCAAGGGCCACTACACAGAGGGAGCCGAGCTGGTGGACTCTATGCTGGATGTGGTGAGAAAGGAGGCGGAGAGCTGTGACTGTCTGCAGGGCTTCCAACTGACCCACTCCTTGGGGGGCGGCACTGGCTCGGGCATGGGCACCCTGCTCATCAGCAAGATCCGGGAGGAGTACCCAGACCGCATCATGAACACTTTCAGTGTCGTGCCTTCACCTAAGGTGTCAGACACTGTGGTGGAGCCCTATAATGCCACCCTGTCTGTCCACCAGCTCTTGGAAAACACGGATGAAACCTTTTGCATCGACAACGAGGCCCTGTATGACATCTGTTTCCGCACCCTAAAGCTGACCACCCCCACGTATGGTGATCTCAACCACCTGGTATCAGCCACCATGAGTGGGGTCACCACGTGCCTGCGCTTCCCGGGCCAGCTGAACGCAGACCTGCGCAAGCTGGCCGTGAACATGGTGCCCTTCCCCCGCCTGCACTTCTTCATGCCTGGCTTCGCGCCCCTGACCAGCAGGGGCAGCATGCAGTACCGCGCCCTGACGGTGCCCGAGCTCACCCAGCAGATGTTCGACGCCAAGAACATGATGGCCGCGTGTGACCCCCGCCATGGCCGCTACCTGGCAGTGGCTGCCATCTTCCGAGGCCGCATGTCTATGAGGGAGGTGGACGAGCAGATGCTCAACATGCAGAACAAGAACAGCAGCTACTTCGTGGACTGGATCCCCCACAACGTGAAGACGGCCGTGTGCGACATCCCACCGCGGGGCCTCAAGATGTCAGCCACCTTCATTGGCAATAACACAGCCATCCAGGAGCTCTTCCAGCGCATCTCTGAGCAGTTCACTGCCATGTTCCGGCGCAAGGCCTTCCTGCACTGGTACACAGGCGAGGGCATGGATGAGATGGAGTTCACTGAGGCTGAGAGCAACATGAACGACCTGGTGGCCGAGTACCAGCAGTACCAGGATGCCACTGCTGAGGAACAGGAAGAGTTCGACGAGGATGAAGAGGAAGAGGTCGAGGAGGCTTAGGAACTTCTCAACCTCCTGCGTCAACTTGTTGTCCACCAGCTCCTCTATGATTGTCAACTAAGCTGCTCAGGTGTGTCTGTCCAAGTGCACTGTACTGATAATATCTGTACTCCTAATTCAGGGCTCCATACTCTCCCAATTTTCCTTCTCACTGTTCTCAAAGTTTCAAGATTTTCTTTCATCAGGATAGGTTTTCTGCTTCAATGTTTTTGAGCAGTATTCCTGTTCCTTTAGTAAAGAGATGAAACTCCTTTTTTTTTTTTTTTTTTTTGAATCTTCCCTCTCCCAATGGATTCAAATAAAGATATTCTCAAAAGCAATCTGGGAATGATGGTGTTCCAGAATCTTGTGAATCTGTAGAATCAAGGCTTTAGGTAAGGACTTCTCTTTATCTGATTCCTTTTGAACAGTGTGTTGAATACAAAGAAAATCAAGTGTTGCTTTACCTGTCAGTTAAAAAGTATACTTAAATTGGAGGTGTTTTAAAAGAGTAGGGAGGAACACAACAGAGTCCCGCCTAAAATGTACTTGAAAACCACAGCAGGAATTTAAGACAATGAATGGAAACTAACAATTTAACATTTTTTAAAAATTACATATTTCTAGCTATTAAAACTTGAATCTGCTTTCAATATGTGATCATTCTTAATGGATTAGGATCCCATTTTGGAGAGAGGGAAAAAAGCTGGGAAGGCAGGTGAACTGAGGTATGGGGTAAGGAAGGGAGTTTCTGAGGCTCTAGGATATGGTAGGAATAGGCAGCAATACAATCAGCCCTGTGCTAAGGAACCACTAAGATATGAAAATCCTTAGGGCAGCTTCATTGTAGAAAGTGTTTTGCTAACTTGTTGAATGCAAAATGTGAGTGTGGGTTGTTTGCCTTCTGGCATCAGATGAAACCTTTTAAATAAAAGATACATTAGAGCCTGAGGTTGTGGCTAAGTGGTACAACACTTGCCTAGCATGTGTGAGGCATTGGGTTTGATTCTCAGCACCACATAAGTAAAATTATTGTGTCCATCTACAATGAAAAATATTTTTAATTATTTAAAGAAAAAAGATTAATTTATGACACATCTTTAGAAAATCCCTTCCCTTCCCCAACATTTCATAAAAATCTAAAGTGAAAACTGCCAAATTTTCCCCACAACTACTACTAGGGAGACATATTTATATTTATGGAAAGTTTTTACTACTACCTTACATGAGGCATAAAGCCTCTGGAGATTCTGACCACCCCATAGGTTGACAGTAGAGTGATCACTGAACAGTGACACACATTGTATTTGGAACTACATCATGGAACAACTTGGAAAACTGGGCAGGAGAGGTGATTTGGTGGATACTTCAAAGAAAGTAAAAGAAAAAAAAAGCCAGCTAGGTTGGGAACATAGGAGGAGCACTTGTGTAGCATTTGCCAACAGGGAGGCCTTGTAACTGTCAGTTTTGCCTTCTAAGACCATGCAAAATTGGTGGCTCACAACATTTCCATTTCAATCGGGGGATAAAACCTGTTTTATTATCAGTCGCATTTTGGAAAGCTTTAAAAGGTGGTAAAGGGTGAACTACAAGCTCCTTCCAGCTGCTAAAGCTGGCAAAGGACATGCCCAAGCTTTACACAATCAGGCATTTGGGGGTGGGGGTGGAGGTGGACATCTCAAGGAGAAGTTCCTTTTCTCAAATGCAGTCATAGCTAAAGCATTAGAAATAAAAGTGAGGCAGCTTGAGTGGACTGCTTCTGCTGGGCACCCTGGATTGTTGCTTTCACCTGGTGTATGGAGGACAAAGCCTTCTCCAATGTGCTGGAATCCTAGGACTCTGGCTGGAGGAGCCTTCAGACTGAAGTGAAAGCTTTCTTTCCATAGCAGCTACAAGTAAACCCGAAGTACCATCAATGGGTTAAATGTATGTGTTCTTTGGAGCAGGACATGGCTGGTCTCACCAGGATGATCTATCCTGGCAGGTTCTATCATCTCCCTAAGCCATTGTCCTTCATCTGCAAAATGGGGGCAATCATAGTTTCTTTCCCATGGTTTTATTCCAGGACAAAATGAGAGGATGCATGGAAGGTGCACAGCATGGTGTATCTGTAGGCACATAGCACTTGAGTGTCACCTCTGCTATTGCACCTTAGAAAAGTCCTTATGATGATCAGCTCTTTGATTATATATTCTAACTTATGAAAGTCTTTATAAAGGTTCTGCTTGCTTATAGCATACTGAAGAACTGCTCTGACTCTGGAGCAGAATTGATTTACCCTTGTTGACTGAGACAAAACCTCCAATTGGTAGATTTTTCCCCTAAGAAAGAGTTTGCAAAATGTGAATAAGATTTGTCTAAAAACGGTCAGACTCCACTCTTTTGGAGTCTTTACCAAAGACTTGCCTTTGTTAGCACTGCATAATTCTGTTTAAAGTTCATCCTGAGCAAAGTCTTGTGCTGACTGCTTTCTTTTCAGAGAATGCAATTAAAGTAGCTCCTTGGAATAGTAGGAGAGCCAGCAGAGGGAAAAGTCACCAGGGCATTAGGAATGGGCAGGGCAAACTCACTGCCCCCCAGGCAGGAAGAGGACTAGAAGTGAAAGCTCCAAGAGTCATCCTTCCCTCAATGTCTACCTCCAAGTAATCTGGCTTTCCTATTCTTCACATAGGTGAGAAAGGTCAAGGTTTCTTTTCCTAGGTCCATTCATGTCACTCCAACTAGTGTACAGCTCACATTGGCCTGCCCTAACAGGCAAGGTCCATCTTAGCACTGGTGGCCAGACTTGAAGAGCCAAAGAAGCTGCAAGAGAGGCCATTACCACCCTTCTGAAACCCAGAAAATGGAGAAGGTCTAGTCCAGTAACACTCCTCACTGCCAGTCTGGCAACACATCCTCCAGTAAACCCACCAAAGTCTCAGTCCCCTGTGGAAAGGAGCATGCCCCCATCAGCCCTTCCCTGCTGTGATGGTCAACTTTGTGTCCATTTGAATGGACCTCATAGTTCCCAAATATTGGATCCAATACTGTTCTGACTGTGTCTGAATGTGTTTGGGGGTGATGACAGCATTTGAATCCATAGAGATTTCCTTCCCTAATGTGGGTAGGCCTTGTCCAATCTGTTGAAGGCCAGAATGGAATAACAAGGCTGAATAAGAGAGAATTCCTTCTGCCTGATGGCCTTCAACCTATCCACTTTTGTCAGCCTTGGAACTTGGCCTAAAACGTGGGCTCTTATTAGGTTTTGAGCTTGCCAGCTCCAGGATCCACTATAGAATTGCCTCTTCTGGTTCTCTGTCCTTTGATCTCAGACTATAGCCACCCACCCAATTGGCTCTGCAGGATCTCCAGGTCGATGACTCATGCTGTAAAAATTGGGATCTGTCAGCTTTCCTAACTGCATGAGCCAATTCCTCCTAATCTGTCCCTCTCTTTCCTCATACACACACCCCTTACTGGTTCTGGTTCCCTGAAAAACTCTTAACAGACTCCAATACCTCTGCTAATAATGGTTCTGAAAGCTGGTAAAGAGAGAAACCTGCCCCTGATGTCATGCCAACAATTCATTAATGTCTCCTGAGTTCCCTGTCACCTGCACACACATCAACGTTCCATTAAAAAAAAAAAAGTTATTGCGTGTGTTGTTCTCTTTTTTCTCTTCAATGTATCAATGCCTGCTCATTAAAGCCTCACAAATGAGTCTTCGGGGTGGGCTTGGCGGCGCAATCCGATTTAGGTGGAGGGTTCGGTGGGCAGCAGCGGTGGCCTTAGGGAGGCGCAACGCCAAGGCCGGGAGCAAGGAGCAGTAGGCGGGTGCAGTGGACACAGCCACGGCCTAAGCACCCCCCACCCTGGGACCAGGATGCCCGGGGTCTCTTCCGAATTGCGCAGGGCCGCGGGGCTGGGTCGCCGACCGTCCCGGGGCAGGAAGCCTCGGCCGCCTCGAAGGCTGCGGGGCTCAGCCACCTGGCCACTCTAGAAGAGGCTCTCGCGGGGGATCTCGCCTGAGGAGGAGAGGGCAGCGCCGAGAATGCGGGAAGCCGCGGAGGATGGAGGAGCTGAAGGAGGAGGGCGAGGAGGAGATCCAGGAGCACAGGCCCGAGCGTTGGCTCCCCAAGTGGGAGCGGCAGTGCCAGGCCCAGGCAGAGCAGGCCCAGCAGCTGTCCCCTGAGCTGCAGGAGGCAGCGGCCGCCGCGAAGCCCCAGCACCAGCTGCACCAGCTGTGGCACCTCTTCCAGGACTCAGCCACCACAGTGGCCCAGCTCTACAAAGACCCCGTGTGTCAGCAGCCAGCACTCTCTGTGCTCCCTTTCAAAACGCAACTGCCGCTGACACCAACCTCTACAAGAAAACGTGGAGACCCATCAGCCAAGTTTTGATTTTGGAGTTCAGATTGCTATCAGCGAGGCAATGAGGGTGCGCTGGCTTGGGATCAAAAACGCAGAAGAACCAGATTTCATCAGCTTCCTGGGTGGAAAGTTACCTCCAACACCAAACTCTAGAGCTCCCCAAGACTGACTGGAGTATCCCCAAACTGAGTTACTTCAAAGGAAACTTCTCATCTGGAGAGACGGATTTGTAACCCTTCCTGGAGGCAGGAGCTCAGCATGGGAAAGCCCTTTCAACATATTTCTGTGGAAAATTGGTGAAGAGTGTGCCTGTGGATCCATTTTCACGTTTAGATTTAAGTCCAGATAGATTGTCTGTTTGGGGGGTTTTGTTTTGACTATTAGAGTCAACACTTGGTCTAAAAATATTAAAATAAAATGTAAACTAAGAAACACAATTTTTGACTGTCAGCTAGCCTGTCCTAAAAAATGTTTTTAGAAAGTTAGTTTGAGCTTACTGGTTTTTAATAAGAATCTTTTTTCAACACTAACTAGAGTTTGTTGCTTTTCACTTTCATGTTGTACATGTTTTCTTACACTCTTGAGTCAAGGGAAGTTCTTATGTCTTAGAACTCTGTTATGGTTATAGTTGCTTGGAGAGCCTGCTCCATGACAAGAAAGTACAGCAGGTAATTGTTGGGTTAGTTCTCATGGGAACTGGGAACTGCCTTTGACAACTTTCATTTCTAGTGTGCTGTCTAGAATGAGAGTTGATGAGCCAAGTGAGAGAGGACACAAGGAAGAGTCATCCATGTCCCTTCTGCCTATTGTC